GTCCCTAAAGTCAATACAGACACGAATTTGCCGTTCATTCTTCTTCACGAGGACAATTTGGCAATCCAATCGGCATATTTTTCTTTCTGCGGATGAAGGCCTGCTTCTATGAGCTTCTTTGTTTCTGCAATTACTGCTCTTTAATCTCATCTCATTTCTCCTTGGAGCTTGCTTTGACGGGAGCTACGTCCGCTTGATGGCCAATTGTGAACTGCCACATCAGGGATAAGCCAGGCATCTCAGCGTATGTCCAGGCAAAGCATCCTGAATTCACAGAGGAGCTCTTTTATTTCTTCTATTTAGTCTTCTAATAGAATGACACTGATGAAGATCAGATAAAGATCTTTCTCAGTCTGAGAATATATAGTTGAAAAGTGATGGGATTTCTTGAATGATTCTTCAAGATGTCGACATCAAGAAGATTATCTGTAGGAGCCATCTTTGGGAACCCACTTTATTAAATTTCTTGAATGATGGATCTCTAGGTGTACACACTAGATGTCACACATTATTTGAATATATTTTTTTCTAGAGATGTTAATCTCTATATTTGTTTTCCCTTTATGTCGGGACCTTTCCGGCAGTGGGTTCTTGGATATACATCCAAGTGCACACCCCAATGCTCACCGTACTATCTTGTTTCTTTCTTTACTTTACCATCATAATAAATGGTTGGCTTTTAGCTCTATCGGGACCTTTCAGTGATGGATCTTTGGACATAAGGGCCAAATGTCACATCATGATGTTCACCGTATAGAACATAGTATTTTTACTGTACTATATACATGAAAATAACTAAGCCAAGATGGAAGAGAAACAATCCCCAGCGGAGTGCCAGAAATCTGTGGGCTCCGAAAATTCGGCCCGGCCTCCAGCGCTTTTCTTTTTATTCGGCGAGGGAGTTTTAACGAACTAAGTTCCGAGGTAATTTTGGAGGCAGAGGAGATGGGTTGTAGATAAGACACTACCCAGAGATTTCGCCCTCATTTGGTGAGGACTTTATGATCTGAGTTCTGGTTCCTATAGGCGCAAGCCCCTATAGTTAATTACCCCTCCCGATCACGAGAGAGAACTTCGATTAAGGCTAGTCATCGATCAGATACGTAGAAATATACGTGTTATCTGCATATAGAGCAGCAATGGGTTAGGTATGGTAGAAATTGGATTTGGGTTTGTGAATTTGGGAAGTTTGGATATTTGGAAGATTTGATATTTAAAATAGAAATTTTCACCATCTAGTACTTAAAGCGGATGGTGGGGGAATGGATGATGGGCCCAATCAAGATCCCATGGTCCGTCATCCCGGGCATCGTGGTCCCTGGGTCTACTTAGTCAGAGGAAGTAGTCGACCCAACCTGACAGAAGGATCTTGTCGGCAACCATGGGTTGCTCGTCCAAGGGAACCTTGTAGACCGGGGTTGAATGTTTGTCTAAGGGGACAAATTTAAATCCACCTTAGCTAACAGAGGGCTTTGTGCCCTATTAATTATATCCTATTGATTCATATTCAAGGATTTAACGCCATTAAGGAGCGTATTGGCTCTGGCTAAACGCTATCTGTGGTGCCATTTGGCGGCAAAAACCATCGGTTCAGAGGGCCCGGGTCATAACCGTTTACTTGCAGTTCTATTTGGCGGCGAAACTGCCGGGTTAGAGGACACGTACCACGCCTTACTGGCAAGAGATTGTTTGAGAATGTGACTTCTAGGATATTTCGACTAGGCATTTGGACTCTTTGGAGCTGAAGTAAACTTTAATTTGTCCACCCCGACAAACTGGTTGCGGAAGGATGGATGAAATTTTGCTTTAAGTTATGATGATTAGATTTCAATTTTAAATATTTTTAAGATTTTTGTGGAGTTTTTGGGTTTTTTGGATTTTTTTGGATTTTGGGTGGAGCTATGGGAATATTTGAAATGGATTTTTTGGGAGGCATTTAAAAATATATTGAGAACCCTCCGGTTGAGATCTGCATTCAACACGGCTCATCGGGGTGTTCGGGTATTTCTCTTTATGATTTGACCTTGTCAACTCTATGGGCTGTCGACAAGAGGATCGGGTTTCATAGGCTTTATGCCTTAAATAGTGAATTCTATTGTTGTAGGCCTTGAAAGCCAATATGAATGTTTTAAATGCAAATATACCGTCGCCACAAATTTATTATTTGCTTAATGGTTCGAACCCTGTCGACTTCTATTGACCCGTATAGAAGGATCGATTTTTTAACCTGAAATTCACTTGTCAACCCGCGCAGCATCCCTAGACGTCACGTGTGTACCAATAACACGCTCGCCGGGGCCCTTGCGGGTTTGGATTGTATTTTATAATTAAACCTGTCGACCCTTTTTACCTGCTAAGGAGGATCGTTTTAAAATTTGATAAACCCGCAGATCCCAGACGTACGTGTGTACCAATTAACACGCTCGTCCGGGGCCCATGGGGTTTTATAATTTCTTTTACCCCTTTTAGTGTACCTATGTGTATACAAACTATAGTGCACGTGGGGGTATTTTAAAATATTTGTGAACGCCTTCTGTCCGCTTGCATAGAAGTTGCGGATCCGGTGGCGTTGCGTAGCAGCTTCTGAATAGAATTAATTCGCTGCTTCGTACAGGTAGACTGTTGAGCACTACTCATTGCTTTCTACAGGTGGATCATAGTGCACTGACTAGTCTCCTGCTTTAGGTCATAGGAGCTTGTTACTTGTTTTAGTACTTCATATTGCACACAGACAATATGTTGGAAGCAGACGGCTACTATTCATCAAGAAATTTGTAAGCCCCTATAATCTTATCCAACTAAATGTTCATAACTTAGTTTAATTAAAATTCACTCAATCTTGATTTGATCTGACTTTTCTTTCCGAAAAACTCGTATAGAAATCAATAAGTGCTTTATCAATTATGTCGTCTTCCTTGTTTTCCGTTATTGGCTTGAAGAACCCATCACTTCTACCGTGATGATTGTGCCCTTGCTGATGTCAGATGTCATCCCAAAAATGATCGTTGTAGCTCTTGACGTAGTTGGAGTAGTGTATGTACTCTCTACTTGCGCTGTGAGTTTTAGATTACCAAGATTTGTATTTGTCTTTTAACAACACATTTGCCAAACCTTGACATCAGAATGGATTGACATTAATTTTAGGAATGTCTCTAATATTCATCATATATTACAATAAACTTGTTGGTAGGATACCACATTATTTGTGAGGATTGTTATATATTTTGTATACATCACATGCTGATCATCCCTCAACATGCGGCTCGCCTCACTGTCAAAAAGACTTTACATCCCTTCACATGTGTTGGCTCATGAATCATTGGATCTTTTATTGCCTTTGAACATAGCTTGTATTTTGTGTGCAGCTTCCTTCATTGATATTTGTATGTTGATTGACATGTTGATCTTTCGATACTTCAATGTCATTCTTTGCTGTTGATTGTGGACATATCATTCTTTATTCAATATTTGCTTGTGAAGAGGCTTCATTCATTGCAATCAATGATATGTTAAAATATGCAAGCTTTTTGTTTGATTATTGGTATCCATCAAAAAAGATTTAGTTCATAAGTCCACATCAAAGTTCTCTTGGGTCCATGTCTTGTTCATTTGCTCATTCAAATTGGTGTTCAAAACAAGTTCATTTGTCAAGAATCCCCGGATGGTATTTGTAGAGTTCAAGTTTATTGTCCACAATAGTCCAACTCAAATCTTGTTTGAGTTTAAAAGTCCAAGTCATGTCTTTGTTCATTTCAAGTCCAAGCTTGTCGGCTTAATGTTCAAATCAAGTTCTAGTTCTTCGTTCTTCTCATTTGATTTTTAGTTCAAATTTTATGCTTTCAAGCTTATTTGGGTTTGAGTTCACTTAGGTCGATTGAATCAAGTTTATAAGTCCGAGTCCACCATTCAATCAAGTCCAAATGTTCACAAGCTCGAGTCCAAGTTCAATCATCCTTTGAGTTCAACCAAGTTCTAGCTCTTTGTTCTTGCATGTCATTCGAGTGCAATCAAGTCCAAGTGTAACATTGCGTTCACCCGAAATTTTGGCAGCCTTCCGGCGTCTCCCCCGTTTAGGGGAAAAATTACGCAAAATTGGGCCTTTCTCACATACGCAAAAAGCGTGTATGGTAGGTGCCCTCTTCGAGGACACCGCGGCCGTGTAATTTTTGATCCCCCACCACGCTAAGAAAAGTGTGTATGGTATTTTAAAAATATTTTGCAAGAAAATTATTTTGCAAGAAAAATAGTTATTTCCCGCAAGCGCGGGTACTTATGGGTATCCCCGCTTCGTGTGCGCATCGCACCGGGATCCTTCCCACCACTCTAAGAAAAAGCGTGTATAGGCGGGGTTTCCAAGGCGATACGAACTTCGAAGAAGGAATTTAGGTGATTACCGCTTCGTCGCAAGCTCGTGATGCACTCCTCCCACCACGCTAAGAAAAGCGTGTATAGGTGGTCGTTTTGTTCTCAACGAATGTGTTGAAACGTTGAAACGGGTTCTCGGAGTTTTAGGGTTTAGAAGTTATACCTGCGCGGGGTCGGCGGTGTCGGCACGAGGATCGAGGGAGAGAAGCATCTGTTTTCTCTTTTTTTTTAATATCATTAATTATGATTAATACTAATTAAATATTATTTATAAAAAATTAATTATAATTAAATTTATTTAATTATAACTAATATAATTAATTAATCATTAATTATAATTAAAAGTTTATTAATCATAATTAGATTAATTCACAATTAATTTGTAATTAATTATAATTAAAAATATTTAGTAATAATTAAACTTAATTAATTATAATTAGCTTATAATAAATAATAAATAATTATATTAAAAATAATTAAAGTAAAATAAATCCTCTGTTTCTCCCTTTTAGCCGCAAATCTCAAAGGATTTATGGGATTTGGCCAAAAAGCGAACGAAAGGGAGAAGTTAGCTTCACGGCCAGCGAGCTCTCCATGTTGTCTCCGCTCAAAATGTCGTAACTTCCGATTCAAACATGGAGGGAAGGTTGTGGAAGGTGGAGCGAATGGAGGCTAGGGCACAGGGAGGAATCAGAGGAGATCGGGCCGGGAGGCGGAGCTTGGATCTCTCGGCTAGGATCGGGTAAGAGTGGAAGCTCTCTCTCTCTCTCTCGGTCGGAGAAGGGAAGGGGTCGTGCGAGAGGAGTTTCGTGAGAGGAGAGGGTGGTCGGTCGTTTTTGCTGTGTGGAATCGGACAGAGCTCCTAAAGAGCTTCGTTCGATCGGCTTTTAAAGGCGTCAAGGGGTGCGATCGAGGCTGCGGGATTTGGGCAGGAATCGTGGAGAAACGATGTGAATCGGCGCTGCCAGCGTGATTTCAGCTGGATTCCGTGGATTTACGGCAGCGTCTCGGCAGATTTCGTGGATCCATCGGGTATGAGGTTTGTACAAGGATTTTCACATTGCTTCTCCTCTCATCTTTGCTCTTTTGGGTTTGATCCGTAGGTCAACAGGAATTTCCCATAAGGACTAATCATGAGAGCTGATACTATGGTAATGGCAATAGAAAATTTGATAGAATTACTTGGATCTTAACTCCTAAACTATGAATGAAAATATCAATGTGACGTAATCCAGTTAATGCAAGTTCATCATTAAATCTTAATGATGCACCCCATCGGGCTTATTAGCTGGATTGGTGGGCGAGCGTAGTTGGGTACCCCCAACCCACGTTCAATTCCTCTCTTAAGTGGCATGACTCCTTAAGTGGGGAGAAAATAAGTGCGTGGTTCGGCACCTGTGGGGCTAGTTGCTGCTAGGCCCACTGATGGATTAGTTACTCCGTCAAGCGCCTCCTCTATACGATGGCAGCAGATAGATACCCCCATTCCATACAAAAAAAATAAATAAAAAACAAAAAAATAATCTTCATGATGCTGACGTAGTAATTTGGTAAAATGACAACTTCAACCGGAAGATTTTGGTTTCAAAAACAAAAAAAAGGTCTAAACGCTAGTTGCTTCATCCATTAGCTATCATCGCAAACTATGATAATATGAGGATTACAGTGCACAAATCAGCAAAGGTATAAATATTAAAATATATTATAGCTTCGAATTCCTGTGAAATTAACCGTCATTTATGGATAAATATGCAACATTTCTTTTAACTCCTCTAGTGGACTTTTCATTTCCGAAGAAATTACTCAAAACACGTAAACAATTGAAACTATTAATGAATAGAAAAACTGTATTGCTTGGTAAACAATGACCCCAAGGAACAGAGCTAATCGTGAATAATTCAATAAATACAATGCTCATAACAGAAGTAAACTGTGTGCAGGTCTGATTCTCAACAACTTGGTAGATTAAAATAAAGAGGATTTCATTGAATATTTATCATTAGCTGATCTTGATTTCATTTACTTTTTTTTTTCTACAGCCATTGGAGGTGAATATTTATCCAATTCAAAGGCTGGAGCCTTATCAACATTTTTCGATGTGGGTGGGGTGTTTGGTGGCATCTTAGCAGGTCACATATCTGACCACCTTGATGCGCGGGCAATCACAGCTGCAAGTTTTATGTATTGTGCCATCCCTACACTATTCCTTTACCGTGCTTATGGGAGCATTTCCCTCTTCTGGAATGTTGCATTTATGATAATTGCAGGGTTGTTTGTGAATGGTCCTTATGCTCTTATCACCACAGCAGTTTCAGCTGACCTTGGCACCCATGCCTCTCTGAAGGGGAATTCCAGGGCCTTGGCTACTGTCACAGCGATCATCGATGGAACAGGATCTGCGGGTGCAGCCATTGGCCCACTCTTGACCGGATATCTGTCGACTCAAAGCTGGAGTACGGTATTCGCTATGCTAACGGCTGCTGCACTCATGGCCGGTCTCTTACTTACGAAGCTTGTGGCGACTGAGGTTAAACTGAAATTGAGGGCGCGGAGATCTTCCAGGTCGGAGGAAAGTCTAATATGATTTATGGGTGGTAGGTATATCGTAGGATGCAGACTTGCAGTGGAGACATGATAGATCTATTGTATCAGTAATGCCTGTGGCCTAGATCTGCGACCTTCAATGCACTTTGAAGGGGCACTGGTCTACCATCTGCCCAAGTGGTAGAGTAAACGTCATAATTTGTGTATGATAGATCTATTATATGTGGAGAGGTTGTAAACGAGTGAGTTTGAGTTATCGTTTATTAAGATGGATATTTAAATTTGTTATAAATTTAAATTAGAGAATAAATTTCACAAATTTACTCTTTCAATTTTGTTTCTCCTTTTCTCTTTACTTCGATGTCAAATTGTATGTTTTGTGAAGACTGTGCTACATTTTCCACTCCAATAATGTTCTGTAAATATTAAGAGTTTGAAAGTTTTATTTCTGAGATTTCTGCTGTGGTTGTTTGGATTTGCACCTTAAGTTTTTATTGGTCATGGAGGCGGTGCTTGTAAATAATAACAGAAACTGAATCGGTAGTATTTTTTTATGAATGATATAGTCTTCCGAGAATGTGAATTTTTTGGGTATAAATATTTAAAACACTGGGTTTTCATCCGGCCAAAATATATTGCTATTTGATGATAATTTATAGAACTAAGTGAGTGTAACATGCAGTGTTTTCCCCGTTTTTGCATTCTAAGGCAATTCATCATAGTCCTATCATAATAAGGTCTACCACAAAACTTAAAAAGTGATCATACATGAAGTGATAATGCTTATTTTATTTTTTGATGGTCTTTGTATTTTTTTTTTTATTTCATTTGGAAGGCGACATAATCAAAAGGAGCAAGCAATCAGCCAAGTTCCAAGCAAATGTGGAGGCCGTCCAATACATTTTGATTTGGTCAAAATTCAAATAACTCAACCACCCCTTTCCCTCTATCAAGGATGCATATCCCACCATCCAAGGTGACATGCTTAGTCATATTTTAAGGGAATTGACAGTAAATTTTCATTAAGGAGTGGAATGGATGTTTTGGGAGAGGAATGGATGCTTTGGGAAATTTAATTGTATGAATTATTGCTATAGATTGAATGAATTTGGAAGTTGCTTCAAGCAATTCTTCTTTAGTTCAGCTTGGTGGTCGAACCTCTCCTCTTTTGTAAGATTTGGAGTTTTATGCTTTTTTGAGTCAAAACATGAAACCCTAACTACTTCATCCTCCCAAAAACTTCATCTTTTGTCCCTTTGGAGTTAGCCAAACCCTCATACCTCCATGCAAAATACCATCCACTAAATGTAAACTTTTGACCTCACCCTCTCATATAAACTCTAATCAACATTATATTGCCAACTAGCGTCCAAATTCCTCAACTCTATTTGCCAACCTTAAGAACTCTTTCACTCATTCCAGTGATTCGTCAATCCCCCACCCTTCTAAGAAATTCAGAACCCTTTGGAAGCTCTTGGCCATACCTCTCTTTTATCCTATTTTCATAACACTTAGCCTCACAACCAAGGACCCAACATTTGAAATACATTCACATCACCTAAGACCCTCAAATAATTTCCAAATTAAAGGCCACCGCTCAATTTTCCCTTCTTTCTATTTTCTCAATAAGACATAATCAAAACTTCTCACAAATCCATTCCTCATCCCTCTCACCTCATCAAAACCTCAAGGAGGATTTTCCACTCAAGGTGTTACACTCCAATGATGTTATCAATTCTAGTGTTAGCCAAAACCTTGATGAGCCATGAAGCATCTATGGGCTCAAAAAATTTTGCCCCGGTCTCCGCCCGCACTGTTTGCTTTTTCTTCGGTGAGGGGAGTTTTAACGAATTTAAGTTCCGGGATAAATTTTGGAAGGCAGATGAGTTTGTAGATAAGACACTATCAAGAGATTTCACCCTCATTTTGCGAGGACTTTATGATATGAGTTATGGTTTCCTATAGGCGCAAGCCCCTATAGTTAATTACCCCTTCCGATAATGAGAGAGAACTTTCAATTAAGGCTAGTCGTCAATCAGATACATAAAGATACGTGTTATTTGGCATATAGTAGTAGCATGGGTTTGAGATTTGAAGAGCTTGGAAATGGTTGAGAATTTGAAGGTTTGATATTTAAAATTAGAAATTTCACCATCTTACACTTAAAGAAAATGATGGGGGAATGGATGATGGAACTGATCAAGATCCCATGGTTCTGTCGTCCCGGGCTATCGTGGTCCCTGATCTACTTAGTCAGAGGAGGTAGTCAACCCAATATGATAATAAGGATCCTTATCGATAGCCATGTTGCTTCCTCCAAGGGAACCTTATAGACCTGGGGTGGATATTTGCCTAAGGGGATAAATTTGAATCCACCTTAGCTAACAAAAGGCTTTGTGCCCTATCGATTATATCCTATTGATTCATATCTCAAGGATTTAATGCCACTAAGGAGCATATTTGTTTTGGTCATAATCAGTATTTCGTGGTGCCATTTGGCGGCAAAACCACTCCGTTCAAGGGGCTCAGGGTCATAAATGTTTATGATTTTGTAGGCTTTATGCCCTTGATAGTGAATTCTTATTGTTATAGGCCTTAAAGGCCTAATATAAATGTATTAAAATAAATATATCGATCATCACAATCATATATTTATTTGATGGATTGAACCCTATCGACTCCTATTGATCCATATAGAAGGATCGGGTTCGAAGTTGAATTCACTTTTTTAAACTACACAACATCCCTAGACGTCACGTGTGTACCAATAACACGCTCGTCGGGGCCCATGCAAGTGTTTAGAGGCATTTTGTAATTATTTGTTGAACCCTGTCGACTCCTATTTACATGTTTAGGAGGATTGGGTTATATTTGTTGACCCATGCAACATCCCTAGGTATCACATGTGTACTAATAACATGCTCGTCAAGGCCCATGCGGGGGTTTGTTATTATACCTCCCCCTTTGTGTAACTATGTGTATACAAACTACGATGCATATGTAGGGGTATCTTCAGATATGGGTCTCCTACGACAGCTCGTAGGAGTCTGTATTTATTGTGGTCCTTCAATACTTATTCGTAAGAGATATGTTGGATGCGTAGTGGATCTCTTATAGTGTTCTGTGGGCATTTTCATTTCAGCAGACATCATGTACTCTTGCAAGTAGGAAGCTGGTGTATTCTCTCCCAATCCAGTGGTGTTGATTATGTGAAGGCAGCATTTGCCTCGGACTTTTTGAATGCATATTTGCTAACCATTGTAGTTGTAAGGTTGAATGTATTTGCTTATAGATGAATCATTGTGTTGCACTATGAGCCACTTGTTGCTTCTTATAAGCGAGCTATTGTGCATTAGCGGCTGCTCGTTGATACGTATACTCATTGTAATTCTTTTATGCTTGCTAAGAGTATAATAGGTCTGATGTAGCTACCCATTTATGCTTCATAAGTAGTCTGATGTGTTCACTATGATCCATGTGGAGAAGTTGTTGGATCTCTATGTCTTATTAATGAGTGCACCCCTCATGAGCAACTATTTGTGTATAAACCATATCTTCCGTTGTTATCAAATAGGTGTTGGCATTGGTTGCATATTGCACTATATGTCTACATGAAGACACATTGCATATGTCTGACAGTGTTTCCCCATGAGTCCTTTACTTGTGAATGGGCTATAATCATACTTGCAGTAGTCTGATGTATTAATTCATGTATATCTAATTGGATGCTCAAGATTTGTTCATTAAACCTTTCCATTTTTATTGCTCATTCATTGAACCAAGGTCTTATTACATATACTACAAGTCTTTTAGAATTCATTTAAGTTCTTTTGAGTCACCTTCTATCATTTGCATGATTGCAAATTGTGGACCTCCAAAAAGACATCGCTGGTTGCAGTGTGCAGAGGGGTATAAGACCGCACCACCCCGAGGGATAGAGACGATCGCAGGCCTCCATGCTCGTTGCAAACAGGCCAATAGAAGGACAGATTAGATCGTACATACGACTAACCATTGAGGATAACAGATCTTGCCAGTGCACCCTGATGGGTAGTAATATACATGACCTGATCATAATAATAGGTTTCCCCCACCCGATACATCAGCTCGAGTGGGGTTTATTTGATGGTGGAATTCTATTTCCTACGGGTGCAAGCCCCGGTGGTTAATTACAACTCAAGCCTAGGGCCCAATAAAACTCTCGATTAAGGATCTAATATTATTCTTTCCCAAAATAAGGAGGATTGGTACGTAAAGGGGGACAAGGAAGTCCTACTCAAAAGGAAAGAAATGGGTCCAAATGGGTTTAGTCAATACGCATGGTTGATATCCACACTCGAAGGGACTAAGATATTGAGAAAGTGGAGAAAAAAAATCAATCACTCGAAGCACGTAGAGAGCGAGAGGATAGAAGTGGAGCCATCTGTGTGACGTGGATAAACAGGATTTATTGTCCCTAGAGAGAAGGAACTTACCCACTACTTAAGCATACTATAAGACGCCTAATATAGTAACCTTGAATCCTAGATCTAATGTGGGTTTAGTGTTCTACCCAACACTAACACCACTATGTCCTAGTTAATGCACCTGGGCTTATACCCTACCTGAAAAGGGATGCCAGCTAACTACCTAGGCGCATAAAATCCATGCAGCCTAGTCTCTATGAAAGATAAGTAGGTAGTTTAGTATTTTGGAAGTAGGGCCGATGTCTAATTAGCCCTAGACTTATGTAGGGTGAATGCTCCTAGAGCTAATGCAATTAAATTTTAATTTAGTTGATTTCTAATGCAATGTATGCTGATTGAACTCTCCAAATCAGATATGCATAAGATTTTAAAAATAAGCTTATATAAAAATATTTTAGAAAATATTAGGCCTCACTAGATTTGGCACTTCATCCTCATAGGCCAGATTATTCGGACTCTACCCATAGGCGGTGAGGTGTCTTATTAGAATTAGGGAGAAGAATGCAACAATATGCATATGACCCTGGATGATTCCGGCAGTTCCCTAGCTTGTTAAGTTTTTATGTTATTTAAACCTTAAAATTTTAGAATTTGGTTACGAGTAGAAAAGGTTTTTATCTTAGAGAGCCTAGCAAAAATTAGGCCATACACATACAAGTAAGAAACCTAAGAAAAAAAGGCATATTCTAATACACACAGAAAATAAACACATCAATATAAATCCAAAAAATACAGTAAATTCCACGTAAAGTGCCATATAAGTATAACCTATAGTCTATAGAAAAGTTGTGGTGGCCAGCTCCACCGACAATAACTTGGATTCTAATCCTAATAAATGATGTAAGTCTTAAAAGCTGGGCATTTCA